GGAGGTGGTGGCTTGCAGTTCCGGTGTTGTAGTCCATTATTATTATGGTGATAGCATGGTGGCAGATATGGTGCTACATCCTGATCAGAAGACAACAGGAAGTGGACTATAGTACTGAGTGGTATCTTGAGCATAGGAGACCTCAAAGCTGGCCCCCATAGTGACACACTTCCTCCAACAAGACTATACTTCCTAGTAGTACCACTCCTTTTGAGCTTATGGGGGACCATAGAAGTTACCATAGAAACTAAGATCTTACTCTTCAATTTAGCCTCAGGCATATTCTTTTTTTTATGTCTTTTTTTTATTAATGTAATTTTTACATTTCAATCCCATTTTCCCCTCCCTCCTCTCTTCTCACCGTCCCCACTCCCTCCCTCTCCCATCTGCTCCTTGGAGAGGGTAAGGCCTCCCCTAGGAAGGCTAGGAAGTTTACTAAGTCTACTAAGTCTGTCCCATTATCTAGTTGAGGCAGGACCAAGGCACTCCCAACCCCTGTGTCTAGGCTGGGCAAGGTATATAGAATGGGCTCCACTAAGTCAGTTTGTGCATTAGTGTCAGATCTTGGACCCACTGCCAGTGGCCTCATATATGGCCCCAGTCACACCATTGTCACCTATTTTAAGGGAGTCTAGTTCAGTCTTATTCAGGTTCCCCATTTGTCAGACCTGAGTCAGTGATCTCTCACTAGCTTGGGTCAGCTGATTCTATGGGTTTCTCCATCATGGTCTTGACTCCTTTGTTCATATTATCGTTCCTCCCTCACTTTGATTGTACTCTAGGAGCTTGGCCCATTGGTTAGTTGTGGACTTCCATCTGTTTCTGGAAGAGGGTTCTGGCTTCTCTGGGGTTGTGGATTGTAGGCTGAGTGTCTTTTGCTTTATGTCTGGTATCCACTTATGAGTGAGTACATACTACATTTGTCTTTTTGGGTCTGGCTTACCTCACCCAGGATGTCCCCCACCCCAGTTTTGTCCATTTGCCTGCAAATTTTAGGATGTCATTGTTTCTTCCTGCTGAGTAGTGCTCCATTGTGTAACTGTACCACATTTTCCTTATCTATTCTTTGGTTGAGGGGCATCTAGGTTATTTCCAAGTTCTGGCTATTACAAATAATGTTGCTATGAACATAGTTGAGCAAATGTCCTTGTGGTGTGAATGTGCCTTCTTTGGGTACGTGCCCAAAAGTGGTATTGCAGGTCTTGAAGTAGGTTGATGCCTAATTTTCTGAGAAATCACCATACTGATTTCCACAGTGGCTGTACAAGTTTGTACTCCCACTAGCAATGGAGGAGTGTTCCCCTTTCTCCACATCCTCTCCAGCATAAGCTCTCATTGGTGTTTTTTATCTTAGCCATACTGACAGCTGTAAGATGGAATCTCAGAGTGGTTTTTATTTGCATTTCCCTGATGACTAAGGATGTTGAACATTTCCTTAAGTGTCTTTCTGTCATTTGAGATTGTTCTGTTGAGAATTCTGTTTAGATCTGTACCCCATTTTTTAAATTGAATTATTTGGTAGCTTGATGTCTAGTTTCTTGAGTTCTCTGTATGTTTTGGAGAACAGCCCTCTGATGAATGTGGGGTTGATGAAGATCTTTTCCCATTCTGTAGGGAGCTCAGGCATTTTCTTAAGACAAGGACTAAAAGTAGCTACATTCTTTGCCAAAATATCAAATAATGGTCTCTATCCCTATTAATAATATTGTTCCCCTCTGGAACCTCTGGAGGTGGGCTCCCATAGTCTGCAACACTTCCACACTGTTACTAGAATGGCCTATTAAGCTCAACTCACAGTGTTCAACCATGTTCCTAGTGCAAAATTCAATTGTCTTCTATATTTCTCCAAAACACACCCAGATCATCTGTCAAGTCTGTCAAGCTATATCTAACTCCATGGTACCAACTTAGTGTTGATTACTTTTCTCTTGCTGTAGCAAAACACCATGAACAAAGGAACTCATAAAAGCATTCAACTGGGCTTAGAGTGTCAGAGGGCTAGTGTCCATAATGACAGAGTGAAGACACGGACAGCAGGAACAGCTTAGAGTTCACATGTAGATCCAAAGTCATGAGGCAGAAAGAGAGAGCACACTGGCAATGGCATGGGGTTTTGAAACTTCAAAGCCCACCCCCAGTGACACACCTCCTCCATCAAGGCCACATCCCCCATCCTTCCCAAATGGTTCCACCAACTGATGACAAAGTATTCAAACCTATAGGTCCAGGGAGGCCATCCTCACTCAAACCACCACTGGTAGCTTCATCTGTGAAGCCCAAGAGGATTTTCAGATTTCTGTTTGTTGTTGTAGGCAGGTGAATCACGTGGTTGACTCTGTGCCTCAGTTGTAACCATTTTAGAAGTCACAAAAGTGAGGCCAGGAATGCAACTCACACACTTGCTCAAGGTCACAGGGAGAGGGCAAAATGTGAAGTAAAGTGCAAAGAATTTGAACAACTTGAACTCCATCACTATGTTTTTTTCTAGTTGTTCCTGAGAGACACACTCTTCATTTTTGACAGACGAACCAGGTCCAGAAGATTGTATGAGGAGGTAGGTTGGAATGTTGCTCATTGACTGCTCTTCACAAGGAATTCATTTCCTCGTGGCTTCTACCTGTGGCTTAGCCCTCTGGATGGAGCTAAGTTCTTACCCAGCAAAAGTGAGTGTCTTCCTTTCTCGGTGCTGTAACACTAACATGGGTGACCCCAAATTTACCACATTCCAGTTTCTAGAATTTCAAGGTAATTGTGCAAATCAGAAAACTGGAGGTGCTTCTGTCTTCATTACCTTTCATGTTGTTAGGACCAAACACCTAATGAAAAGTGCCTTATGAGAGGGAGGATTTACTTTGGATCCTGATTCGAAGTTATTCTCCTTTGTGATGGGAAGATACACACACTGCGGGGAGCAGCTTGTAGCTGTGGTAGTGGTAGTGTGAGATCGCTTGCTCACATGTTTGGATCAGGAGGCAGAGAGGGGACATGAGGTGGTCGGTGCCAAAGACTCAACAGTCAACCCCCAGCACTCATTTCTTTCTTTCTTTTTCTCCATTTTTAAATTTAAATTAGAAACAAGATTGTTTTACATGTCAAATCCCAGTTCCCTCTCCCTCCCCTCCTCCTCTGCTCACCACTAACACCCTACCTATCCCATTCCATTCCTGCTCCCAGGGAAGGTGAGGCCTTCCATAGGGGGCTTCAGGGTATGTCATAGTCTTTGGGATAGGGCCTAGACCCCCCCCCCCGTGTGTGTCTAGATTCAGGGAGTAACCCTCTATGTGAAATGGGCTCTCCAAAGTCCATTCCTGTTAAGGATAAGTATGATCTATGAGGCTCCATGGGATTTCCCAGGCCTCCTCACTGACACCCACGTTCATGGGGTCTGAATCAGTCCTATGCTGGTTTCCCAGCTATCAGTCTGGGGCCAAGAGCTCACCCTTGTTCAGGTCAGCTGTTGCTGTGGGTTTTACCAGCCTGATCTTGTCTGCTTTGCTTATCATTCCTCCTTCTCTGCAACTAGATTCCAGTTCAGTGCAGTGTTTAGCTGTTGATGTCAGCTTCTGCTTCCATCAGCTGCTGGATGAAAGCTCATGGATGGCACATAAGTCAGTCATCAATCTCATTATCAGGGGAGGGCATTTAGCACTCATCTCTTGTAAGTAGGCCCCAGATCACAGAGAGTTCTACAACCCTTTACAACATCACCATCAGCTTCAGACCAAGAGTTCAAACACATGAGCCTGTCAGGAATTTTTTGAGCCTGCTTAATGAGAGCAGAGGAGTCTGTGGGCAGACCTGTGCGTGCACCCAGAATGCACTGCTTCCAGACCTGTGCCTGCACCCAGAATGCACTGCTTCCAGACCTGTGCGTGCACCCAGAATGCACTGCTTCCAGACCTGCAGGATGTCCAGCTGCATTGTGCCATTCTTTGTCATGGAGTCATCAGAGGTCAGAGCTGAGGATCTGTTGTGAGATCTGCTCCCATCTTCTGAAGGACAAGGAGTCTGAATATCCCATCAGTGAAGGGCTAGTGGTTCTCAGAGCGGGACCAGCATCTAGAACCCCAGGGCTCTCAGTGTGGTACCCGGAGCCAGCATGGCAGCCGCCCTGTGTGCTTCACTGCTGAGGCAAGGCCTCCTCTGTTTCTATGTACCGAAAGAGTCCAGAGTTTTCTAAGCTGTGGATCTCTTCACCTATCTCACCTACCTGGCCTATCAACTCATTATTTATTTATTCTCATTTTTTATTAATTTGTCTTTTATATCCCAATCCCAATTCCCCCTCCCTTCTCTCCTCGCTCTCCCATCTGCTCCACGGAGAGGGTAAGGCCTCCCCTAGGAAGTCTACTAAGTCTGTCCCATCATTTAGTTCAGGCAGGAACAAAGTGCCTCTCCACCCCCCAGACCCCCGTGTCTAAGCTGGGCAAGATATCTCTCTATATAGAACAGGCTCCACTATCAGCTTGTACATTAGTGTTAGGTCTTGGACCCATTACCAGTGGCCTCATGTACTGTCCCATTCACACCATTGTCACCTATACTTGGGGAACTCACATTTTTTAAAAGTTAATTTTTTAATTGTGTATATTTGGGGTTTGTTGTAATTCAGCACACACATGTAAAGTGTATGTTTACACTGATTCACAATTCCATTTCCTTAAACATCTATTTTCCCCTTTGTGTTTGGGTAAATTTTAGAAGCTTTTAGTTTGTGCATCTGGGCCTTTTGCCTGCATGTTTCTTTGTGCATCACATGTGTGCAGTGCCCCACAGAGGCCAGAAGAGGGCGCTGGACCCTCTGGAATTGCAAGCACAGGAGGTGCTGGTAGCAAGTGTTCCTATGTACTGAGTGGTCTCTCCAGCCCTGTGCTGGGAACTTACAAATACTTCTCTGTCAGTTACTTGTAAAACATAAATTCTGGCCCCAGGTACTATGCTTGGAACACCAGAACGGGCGACCTGGCAGTTTGTCTTTGTTCTTTCAGATGACCTCGAAGATGAAGCTGGTTTATGCTTTCCTTCTGATGATGGGCGCTCTCTGCTTGTACCTCAGCATGGTCCCTTTCAAAGAATTCACGTTTGTTCTCAAGAAGGATCAAGGGAAGTTCCTCCAGCTTCCGGATGTAGACTGCAAGCAGAAGCCACCTTTCCTGGTGCTGCTGGTGACATCATCCCACCAGCAGCTGGCAGCTCGCATGGCCATCCGCAAGACCTGGGGTGGAGAGACAGAGGTGCGGGGACAGCATGTGAGGACCTTCTTCCTTCTGGGGACCTTGGACAGCAACAATGAGATGGACGCCATAGCTCAGGAGAGCGAGCAGCACCGTGACATCATCCAGAAGGACTTCAAGGACGTCTATTTCAACTTGACCCTAAAGACCATGATGGGCATGGAATGGGTCCACCACTTCTGTCCTCAGGCGGCTTTCGTGATGAAAACAGACTCTGACATGTTCGTGAATGTTGGCTATCTAACTGAACTGCTGCTAAAGAAAAACAAAACAACCAGGTTCTTCACGGGCTACATAAAGCCCAACGACTTTCCAATCAGGCAGAAGTTCAACAAATGGTTTGTGAGTAAGTTTGAGTACCCCTGGGACAGGTACCCACCTTTCTGCTCTGGTACTGGTTATGTCTTTTCCAGCGATGTGGCAAGCCAAGTATACAACATCTCAGAGAGTGTCCCATTCCTTAAGCTGGAGGATGTGTTTGTCGGGCTTTGCCTGGCCAAGCTGAAGATCCGGCCGGAGGAGCTCCACACCAAACAGACCTTTTTCCCTGGTGGCTTGCGCTTCTCGGTGTGCCGCTTTCGGAGAATTGTGGCCTGCCACTTTATAAAGCCCCAGGACCTGCTCACTTACTGGCAGGCCCTGGAGGCCTCTCAGGAGCAGGACTGTCCTGCTTTCTGAGGGGATTCTGTGGCACCTGGGACAAACTTCTGATATCCTTTGGTGATGCTTTGGGAAGATCTGGGATGGCCTTGCTGGGAACTGTCTCGGGTAGAGAGAGGAGGAGGAAGGCAAGGCACTGCTCTCAACACCCTGCACATGCAGGAATGGATGCCCGAGCAAACAGACTTGTTCCCATTTGGTACCCAGAGCAATAACACATCTCATCTTTCAGGCCTTTGCACTATGTTCTCAAAGACTGAGACATGCCTTCACCTGCTCGTTTCAGGGCTCAGTATACATATGAAGCCATGAATGTGATCATTCCCATTTTACAGGCTAGGAACCAGCATCCAGGGTCACTTACTTGCCCAAAGACTCAGCCTGCAGATGGAGCAGGAACGAGGATCTAGTGCTATTGTAATTCAGTTGGTGGTCCCCAGATGAGCGTCCCATTCTTTGGGAGAGGGTGGTGGTGGGAGAAGCTTGGGGTGGGTATCTTAAAGCTAACTAGCACCCTTTAGTCCCTTTCCCGAGTTCCCTGCCTCTCACTTCCCAATCTTTGCACTTTTTAAATGCTAAGTCTGGGATGAACCGGCTGTCTCAGGCCTCTCCCCTCACTTAAATGATGTATCTAGGTACTGAGTCTGTTAGCCACTTGGTACCCAGTGAGTCTTCAATATGGTCCCAGGAGACATGCATGCCTGCAGACACTAGCTCACCTCTGTCCTGGAAGGAAACTGGGTTATATGGCCATAGAAATCAGGCTGAGAAGCCATTGCTGAGTCTTGCTGAATAGACCAACCCTACTGCTGAAACTCCAGTGAGGGTCGCATCTCCTCTGAACCTTCTGGGGCAGCTGGTCTCTGCACAGAATGCATCGGTAGACTGATGGTGACCAGTTACAGCCCTGGAGTACTTCAGACCTCTAAGTTCAAACTCAAGGGAAGCCAGGTACAGGCATGGTCTGTATGGGTGTTCAGGAACTCTGCAGGCACCTGGGCTGCTAGTCCACAGAGCATGGAGGTAGGGCCCAGTCTAGGGGCTCTCCCTACATCTGTGATCCTACCGGACCCTGGCTCTTCACACTGAATTCACCACACGGTCATAGATCAGCTGAGAGCTGTGGTTTGGAATTTAACCCTGAAGGTTTTCAGAGCTGGGTAAAAACAGGGGCTCATGGCCATTCAGCCAAAATGACCAGGCATGTAGTCTTGCTCTGCATTGTGGGAATTACCACTTCCCACCTGCTTTGTACTTTACTAGATTTAACTGTGCTCTTGGAGCAAAGGCTTTGTGCAATTATAAACGTTGCAATATGCTCTCATCTGAACTCAGGAAAACTCACTCAACGGTCAGAGCACCGTCGGGTTGGAGGAGGCTGGAAGCTGCCTCCAGGGCCTCATTCCCACCCTTGTTCCTGTCTCTCCTCTGAGTCTCTTCCATTAACTCTTGGTGTGTGTGTGGGTTCTTCTGTAGATGACATTCTTCAAACTCATACAGCACCATGTTCTGACCCCTAGTTCAGAATGTGTAAAAATCTGAGCAAGGTAAAGAGAAAGGGTCATCATTCCTGGGTGTGTACTAGGGATCACAAACACCATCAAAACCAAGTCCAGCTGGATCTTTTGAGAGAGGGGAAACGGAGGCTTGTGACAACATGGCAGCTTTGTTATCTGTGGTGGAAGAGCTGGTGTCAGAACCTGGCACCAGCCGCCCTGCTGTCAGACCCTCCGTTTATTCATGCATGCGTCCGACATATTTGCTCATTGCATTCACACAGATCATGAGCAGACAGCAGACATGAGTGAGCACTCAGTGCTGAGAAGATGGTCCGTCACGGGTTCTCTTGGTATATGCACAGTGCCCTGGAACATATGCCGATGTGGTCACCTCTGCCCACACTTGCGGTTGCGTTGAAGATGACAGGCATACTTTGCAGGTAGCCATACTTCATTCTTGCAACGGAGTTGGCTGTCAGCAGAGGCAACCGAGGTGACTCAGTGACTCCCCCTGGAGCCCAGATGTGGTGGAGACCCAGCCCTCAGCCTTCTCTACAGGCACACCGTTAACATACCTTCTCATGTGCTTGCTCTCTCAGAAGCTTGCGGCTGGTGCTACGCAAGGTGTCACCAGCATCTCTCTTTGCCCGCACACTGCCACCTCTGTCCTGGGTGTTGGCTTGCGTGTTGGTCTACTTCTTCCTGGTTCTGTTTGATTTCTGTGACTTGGCCCTGGGGCTATCTGTGGAATTCTCGAAAGCCTCCTGTTTAGACTAGCTTTATCATGAAGTTATGTGCATTTCACACATGCACAAATGACCGAGCCAGGTGTCTACATGCGGGCACCAGGCTAGTTTTGTTGCTTGGGATGTGGCATAGCAGGTGCCTCCGATCTTCTCTTTAGTGTGTGAGGTTGCCTTGATCGCTCTCACTTTTGCACAATCAGATAGCTGCACACTTGTCACAAGGCAAGTATGTGCCAAAGGCCAGGTGTGCTATGGTGGGGACATGAGCTGAAGGAGTGGCTCACAGTTACAAACCCAGAGGGTTTTTTAAGCTCCAGCCTCCAGGCAGAAGTGAAACACATATACCACCCTGCTGAGTGAGCTTTTACCATCAGGATTGCAGCAGCAGAGGCAGTATGGAAGTGTCCGCCAGCCACTGTTCTCAGGATGCTGTTTTGAAAGAACAAAGGCAGGCTTCAGACACCATCTGGATTCTCCACCGAGTCTGCAGCCTAGTGGCAGACTAAATAATTAACAAGCCGAATTTAATATGGCAGCTGCTGGGCACCGTTTAAAAAATAGATGAGATGTTGTTTACATTTTCCCACCCCTCCATTTGGAAGAATTTACTTCCTCATAGCATGTTTTTAAAATGAATTAATTTTCTGTATTCATCACATTGGGACTGGCATCTTAGCCTTTTCTAGGCTGGGCTCCCCTGGTACTTTGGGACATTTACTCCTGTCTCTGGCTGGGACTTTGGCTCAGGTGAGGTTGGGAGGAGACACCTGTAATTATTCATAGGTCCTAAGGGGACTTCTCAAAGGAGGTGTCTTGACACCAGCTGAGCTACTGCAGCCTGTGCGGGTGCTGGCATGGAAGTGAACACCAATGTCCCTTCTGGCCTGGGTAAGATGGTTCAGTGGGTTAAGGTGTTTGCTGCCAAGTCTGGCAAATTTAGTTCAGTCCCTGAGATCCCCGTGGTGAAAGCCCATGGTGGGCCTGTGAATGCACAGGCGTAATAAAATGGAAACAAATATGACCTTTGCAAAGGCTCCTTCAGACACTGACCTCCAAGGCTCTTTGCTTATTATTTCCTTTTGGCTGTCCATGATGCCAACCCCTGTGCACGAACACGGGGGGGGGGGGGGGGGGGGGTTCCTCTAGGGTTTGTAAAGTTCTTTCATTTGGCTGAGAATTTGATAGGAAAATTTGTTGGGGCCCTTGCCTCAGGTGTCTCCGGTTCCCTGCCTTTTAACCTAACTCCCAGGGCAAGACCGATCCTCAGAAATGACCTTAGATTGTCCCTGGAGGCAGAGTGAAACCGACCAAGCTCAGGGTTGAGACAGGCTGCATGCACCTGGGATGAACAAGTTGGAATGAAGCATAATAATAGCAAAAAAGGTTTTAAAATCAATTAAAAGCAGCATCCTCTAATTCCCAGGCAGTCATTTTAAATACATGTTGAAAAGTGGGTTCCTTGGCCAAATGTCATTTTGTGTGTGTGTGGTATCGTCTTGTGGTTTTGGTGCTGGGGAAAGGGAGCCCATGGCTGCACGCTTGCTTTCTCCAGCCCCTGTTGAGCTGATTTGCGTCATGGCATTCTACTACCTCCATGCAGGGGTCATGGGGATCAGCTCCCGATGCCTGCACTTTGGATGCTGTTCTGGGTAGTTTTGACTGTTAACTTGACACAACCTACAACCATGCTGGAAGGGAGTAAAGAGAAATATCTCTTTATTACCAATCAATGGAGGAAGACTCAGTCCACTGTGGGTGTCACTGTCCCCTAGACAGGGTGTCCTGAACAGTATGAGAGGAGAAAGCCAGCTGAGGGCAAGCAATGTGTTTATCCTCTCTCTGTTGGGAGCACGGATGTGCCCCACGGCTTTTAAGTTCCTGCCTTGACTTCCCGGCAATAATAGATGGCAACCTGGAATTGTGAACCAAATAAACCCTTTCTTCCCTAAGATTCTTTTTGTCAGGGTATTTTTGATGGGGGGGGGGCTACCCACATGGGATCTCCGACACTTCTAATACCGCCTGGATGTCATCTCTAGTGCCACCCCACTGTCCCAAACCGAGGTGAGCCCAGAAATCTGTGAAGCCCTTCTTACATTCTGCTGCGGGAAATATCAGAAGGGGAGAGCTGAATCATGTCACTCGGTCCCATCATGACTGGAAGAGACTCATCCGAATCTGAGGATGCTTTGTGTTCAAATCTGATTTCCCAAAGGATAAAAAAAATTAAACATCTATGTAATTGAGTGGTGTTTGAAATTGTCATTTGCCTGTGCACTGGGGAGGTTCCACAGGCCAATACTGTATTTTGGGAGTGGGTATATATATATTTATGATAATGATACTTATCTTTAATAAAAGTTTAATGACAAACACCATAATGTTTGTGGGAGGTTCTAACTTACAGCTCCTCTGAAGTTAGCAATATCCGTATGATCTAAATTGGGCTATTTTTTTTTTTCTCATTGATGTTTGTGTCTGGAAAAAAACTTTTTTTTTTTTAAATTTGGCTTTGATTTTGTATGCTTAGAAAAGTGTTGCTGAAGAGTTTCGTTTATCTTTGAAATACAAGAGGACTTTTGTTCAATCATGTTTTGGGAGCAAAGCCACAGAACTCTACAGTTTGGAAGGCTTCCAGTGTCAGTTAGCTTTGGATGGGCAGTGTGGAGCTGTTGGTAATTACAAATCCAGACAGCAGGCAATCATCCTTTGGAATTCTTTCCTCTCTGGCATATTCTTTTCTATTGTTTAAGCCTAAGGGATTAATCTTATG